GTTGGGCCGCCTCCCTGACTCCTCCGAGCGGGTGACGGCGCTGTGGTAACGGGGCTGCTCGATCGAAGGCGGATGCTTGAAAATTCCCCCGTAATTAGGCCCAGCGACAGAGAGCTCCGTCGGGCAAAGCCCTTGCAAACGGCAGTCCTTTCTCCGGAGAGCCTGGAAGGACGGGTCGCGCCGGCTAATGCAGTAGCAGCACACCCTATCCCCCCCACCCCAATCCCCCCCCCCTGCCCCCCAGCCGTGCGATTTTCATCATGGCCGGCTATCCCTGCCGAAAGCAGGATACCGCTGAACATCTGGGGGCTGGTTGTCAGCTGTGCGGAGAGGGAGAGGAGCCGGCAAAAATAACAGCCCCGGTTACTACTGAATAAACCCAGCTTCGGTTGCTGGTTTTGGTTCGCTGCTTCGGCTTCGTGTTCGGGCACGGGGCAAGTTTGGGAAAGGAGAGGGGAGGGAGGAGAGGTGGGGTCCGGGAAGCCAGGCTGCCGTCTCTTTTCACCCCCTCTCCGTCGCGTGGGCTGCGTCCTGCTGTTCCCAAAGCTCGCACGGGCGAGGGGAGAGCTGAGCCGGTCGTTGCCCGAGTCGGCGTCTTCCCGGCACGAGTCCGGCCTGCGCCCACCTTGCCGCCTGAGGTGCCGCCACGATTTCTGTCGGCGAGCGTGAGCGGCAGGCGGAATACCGCTCAGCCTCTTCGCTGGGAAAGGCTTTCGACGACTCCTGGCAGGTTGCAACAGAAGGGTAATTGTAGCTACAAACTTCTCCGTGAAGGGAATCATTGTGCTTTTTAAACAGACCATAAAAATCCCCAGCGATGCCGATGTTCGAACAGTTAAACAGCGATTAAAGACGCCAGCGCTACAAGACCTGGGCATGTTATTTCTAGAGAACGTGTCAGCAGCTGCTGAATTCCTGCCTTTACTGCGCCGCGCTGGCAGGCGCGGAGGAGGTCTTTATGGAAACGGCGGCGTTACGTTCAGCGTTAACTAGCGAGCGGCGCAGGTCCCGAGCTGCCTCCGAGCATCCTCTGGTTTTCAGCTCAGTTTCTTGGAGCTGGGCAACGGGGCCGTTCCCACCGCTCGCGGCGGTGCCCCCTGCCGCTTGCGCACGGCGTCCCGGTGGCTCCGGGGACGGTCACGCCGAGCAGAGCTGGAGCTGGCGGCGTCACCACCGTGGCCCTCATCTCGCTGACGTGGCGTCGCCAGTGTACGCTTCTGGGGTCCCATACGGTTACGTCTTTGTAAGCCCGTACTGGTGCCAGTGTCACCCTACAGCCCGAAAGACTTCAGTGCCTTGTTTGTGCTTTTTTAATTAGGTTCTTACCAAGAAAGTAAAAGGCGACGGGACGGAGAGGAGGCCGAAGCCCTCTGGTTCCTGCCTGGGCTTGCTGGGTGCTGCGGAGCCTGTATGGAATTTGAGGACCACGACTCATTTCAACCTCTCGACTTTCCTGGGCTGTATCATGCTGTCTCTCTCTCTCTCTCTCTCTTTACACCAGCCTCTTCTGTCAGAAGAAATAAGATTTGTGACGGGACTCCGTCTGCGTATATCCAGAGAGAAAATTTCCTATTTCCATATTTCTTTTCACTCTTGAACCAAAACTACCCCAAAAGAAAATCGGTATGAGCGAGGGGAGGAGGAGCTTCAGCAACAAATCCCAAACATTTACTCTCAAAAAACTGCTGAGAATTGGGGCGTGTTGGGTGTGCTAACATTAACCGTTACCAACGATGTCTAGGCTCGAGCATCTCTAAAATGAATCTCCGGTATGTCGCAGGTCTGGCTGTCCGTAATCGTGGGAGAACAACCGAGTATGGCCAGCGGCACTCTGAGCCGGGGGAGGTTGCTTCGGGGAGAGCGTCGTTTCCGTCTGCCAAGCCCTTCTGCCCTGCTCCCGCGTCTGTTGCCGGCGCCCGGCAGGTACGTGTTGCTGGGGCTGCAACGTTTTGTCGGGCAGTTTTTACAGGTTTACTGAAAGGACCAGCGGGTACTCTTGGTTCCGTGAGCGCTGGGGATTGTCTGGGCGCGGGGCACGCGCCTCCCCTTGGCAGCATCCTTTCTCCCCTCCCGCCCCCCCAGCTTTTCAGACAGAGCACGCAGAATTTGTCCAGAAACCAGGAACAGGCCTGAGTTTGGACAGTCTCGCTGCCTTTGCGGCCAAACTTTTTTCCCGTAAGAATGGATTTTGGTCTCAAAAAAGCGCATCACGGCTGAAAGAGGGAAGCTTCTCGGAAGCTCTGCTCTGACTTGGGAGGGTGGCAGGGAAGGGACTTGGCTGCAGTTCCCGTTTTCGGGCTGGGGCGAGCCGGCGGGGTTACCCCGAGCCTGGGCTGGTGCCGTGCGTGCCGCATAAATCCCAGCCCGCGGACGCCGTTAGGGCACTCGCGACTTTATTTGCTTTCAGATAAAGGGGTTAAGGGGCTGTGGGTTACATCGGCGGGGCGGTTTGAAACCAGACACGCTGCTGTTTTCCTCCCCAGGGCCCACATGCTATCCGGTGAGGGAGGCACGCCTGCGTGCCACGAGGCTCAACACGGCTTCGCAGTCCGTGCGGACGTCTCCGGGCAGGTACGGCTGGACCTCGCTGAACTTCACGTCAAAGCCAGCGCCCTCCACGGCTTCCTCCACCTCGTTTCTCTCCAGGCGGAGGCACGAGAAAACCTGCTTGTTGAAGGCGTAGTAGGTTTCCCGGAGGACGGTCACCATCACCAGGTGCCCCCCCGGCTTCACGAGGGCACCGACGTTTCTCAGGGCGCTGCGGAAGGTGGCCGGGTCCTTGCAGGCGGCCTCCAAGCAGAGGGTGGAGAGGACGCAGTCGGCAGGAGGCAGGGACACGGGGTCCACGGGGTTGGCTTTGGTCACGTCGCACTTCAGAACCTGCCTCACCTTCTTTCTCAGTTTCTCCTCTTTCTCAGCCCACTTCTCCCTAGCAAGTAAACAACGAGCCTTCATCTATTTATTTGTTTATGTGGTTATTTAGCATCTGCGCCTGCGACTTCACGTACGCCGTGGTCGGTGGCAGGGCGGTAGGAAGCCAGCCTCACCTGTCCCCTTCCAGCTCGCAAACGTATTTCACCACCGGCCTCCAGTCGAAGGCTCCCGCTTCGTTCTTCAGCCATTTCTCCAGCTCCCGGCGGTTCTGGTCCGCGTAGTCCGAGGCGATGACCTCCTGGAAGTGCTCACAAGCGGACAGAAGCTGGTAGATGGTGGGGCCACAGCCGACGTCTATCAGGGTATCGCCCCTCAGCCCCTCTGGTGCAGCGTGGGGGGGAAGACCGTCCCGGCGAGGATGGAGACCGTGCCCCAGGACAGAAACATCCCACAGCCCCGTCGGGCTGTGCTTCCCCCAACCCAGAAATGCCATCCCCAGTGCCACGGACCCACGGCGCAGCCCCGTCCCCCCGGTGCCCGGGGCTCTCTGGCAGCACCCCGGCCTGGGGGCAGCTCCTGCAGCGGGTTCAGAGGTCGTGTCCCCCC